GCTTAAATCCTCTAGTCATTTACGTATTCTAAGTTATCATTAGTGAAAGAATGGAACGAAAGGACTCATCAAGCCATCTCTGACGCCATCAGGAACTCGTAACCTGTTCTTTAAAAAAAAATTTAAAACCTTTTAATGCCCTTAGTACGAAACAAATAAAAAAGTTTTCCATGAAGTTACTCTGCAAAGAAATGCAGTGAGCTACTAACACTGAAAAAAACTTGCAGTCTAATTAATGTGGTTGTTTTCGTCATCCTTGTTTTAATCTTTTGCTTGAGAAGTAAAGTCATTGTTCTATCATGCGTTCATTTCAGATTAAAGCAATCTCTTGGATCTATAGGATATACCTATGACATGGCAGTTGATTTTCACTCATCAGAAGAATAGGTTCACCTTGAGAGCAACATGTCTGAAAAGCTGCTTAAAATTGTATTTGTTAGAAAACAACCACGACATAAGCATGCAATACTGTTCCTTTTCTTTGTTTTGAACTGTCACGCATTTGTAATGTATGCAATGTGTGCAGCATTAGGATTTATTGCTTCCCATTTGTTGTTACGGCCTCCACAGCCATAACGTGGAAAGAACTTACTTATATACCTTCTTCCAGCCGCAGAATCGACAACTACGAACATTGCTCTACCATGCTTTGAATTTTGTGGCGACAGCAGAATGACTGTCCCCCGATTCCAGGTTAAAGCTCATTACTACAGGAAAATAAAGTTTCATGAAATGGTGGGCAGCACAGTATTGAATTCAATACCTGGTGTTAGTTCGGATAACGTAACTTTTTTTTTTTTACGAGTTTTGATAAGTTAGCTAAGTGCTATACTGCCCTGGACCCCTGGCGAGCTTTGAACCAGGACTGGATGCGATGATGCCAGTCATATCGTGTTGCACCTTCACCACTCATGGAAATAGTTCCAAGCTCCGATCGAATGTCTTCTACAAAACGTCTCACGCTGCTGGACATCGACTTTGGCAATTCCGTCCTCCTATC